AGGGGCAGCGCACGCGTGCCACTGTCGATGTCGTAAGCGCTGGACGCCCGCGTCGAGATCTCACTAAGGAGGGGCAGCTGAACCCTGCCAAGGTCGCCCCCGAGGAAATACGAGACAGCCTCCCTCATGACCTCGACGGCGTTGACCTGAGCGGCGGAGTAGTGCGAGTGGTGGCCCCACGCCTCCTCCCCGCACGTGCCCACATACTGGTAGTTCGTGAGCATAACCTGGATGAAGACCCACAGTTCGGCAGCGACAGCGCAAGCAGAAGGCCCATCAAAATCGGGTCCAGGTTCACTCGAGGTCCCCGCCGCTGACCCCCTCGATGTAACCTTCCAGGCCCTGGCACTGTCCAATGATGGAGCAGCAAGAGGCAGCACATCACGAAACCTCTGCCCCTGCTGCTGCGGTGAATGCGCGTGGTGAAGAAAACCCCGACAGAACCTGCCCAGCCTGCCAGGGTGTGTGAACATAGCATCTATCAGCCAGAGCGCGAAGGTGAGCGGGGTCATGCCATCCTCGAGGGCCGCAGCAAGCCTGGACTTCCAGGCCCTCAGGTAGTGAGCGTCCAAGGCCAGCTCGCTCCGCCGCTGGCACACGACGAATTAGCCTCGGTGGCGTGCGTCACCGCCGAGGTGCCGCCCATGGAGCGGCAGTCTTCTGGTTGGCGGCCTGGTCCTGCGAGCCCTCGCCCTCCAGGATGACCTTGCGAGCACCGCCCTGCACTGGCGGCGCCTGCCTCTTGGGGCCGTCGCCCCGCATGAGCAGCGCCAGGCGCTGCCGGTACTTGCCCTGCGTCTCGCCGTCCTTCTTGGGGTTCTGCAGCTTCAATTCCTTGAAAGTCCTGGAGGGCCTGTCCGCCGTCGGGGGGCGTGGAGGCTGGCGACTCGCGCCCGCCACCTCTGCAGTGCGAGCCGCCTCCTGAAAACCCCGACCTCCAGCTGGCCCACCAGTCGTCCCGTCGCTGGGGTGGCCTGCAGGGGTCGCTCCCATGCTGGGTGGAGCGGACCCCCGGCCGAGTCCCTAGCCGACAGGCTTGAGCTTCCCCGCGAGCTCGGCGAGCTTCAATTCGCCGTACTCGATCTTCCTCAGAAGCTCCTCCTCCTCGATATTGATGGCAGCCATGTCGGCATCGGGAGGGGTGAGCTCCAGCCAGCGCGCGCTCCTCCAATGCTTATCCTTGCAGGCGAGCTGGCAGGCTTTGAACCTCTGCATGAGCATGTCCATGGCCTCCGGGAGCTTCCCTTGGATCAAGAGGTCCAGGGACTCGGACAGAGTGCGCATCTGCCTGAACATGTCCTCGCCGATTGATGAAACAGGGTGCGAGGCCAAGAAGATGTTCAGCAGGAACTTGTTAACTATCGGAGGGAGCTCCTCCTCGGCATCGTGCATGCCCTTTGTGCTGAGAAACTGCTTGAGGTGCGACAAGTGGGCCGTCAACAGCTTCCCTGGAGTGTCGCGAGCAGTCTTCCTGAAGAACGCTCGTGAGGCAGCCAACGACTTCCCAGGCGTGAACTCCAAGCCGTCGGTGATGCCGAAGCCCTCGATGCCCTCGGCAGGGGTGAGCGCGCCCAGCAGCGAGCGAAGGAGGTGAGCGGCAGACCCGCCGCCCTCACGCTCGGGCCCAGCGCCCGCCAGGCCTCCGCTGCCAGCTGCGCCCCCGTCCGCGGGCCCCCGCCTGGGAGCCTTCGCCGCCCTCTCAGCCAGGATCTCATCCAGGGACTTCCTCTTGAGCGGGGCCCCCTCAGCAGCGGCACCTCGAGGCTCGGCGGCAGCGTCGCCCTCGGCGCCCAGACGACCCTTCAAGTCGCCCAGCCTCTTGCGGAGGAGCGCCTGCATCTCCTCGTCAGGGCGGCGCCCTGCAGGCTCCTTCGCAGCGGCGGCGGCGGCGGCCTCGAGCGGGGTCTCCCCGCCGGCGGTGCCGCGGGGGCGAACGCTCCCGCCAGGCAGCCCCGCGGGCTCAGACGCGGCCGCGGCAGGTGGCCGAGCCCGAGCGGGCGGCCGACCGCGCGCCTTGACGGCGGCACGCCCAGGAGGGCCCGCGGCGGCGCCAGGCCCCTCCGCCTCGCGAGCGGCCTCGAGCTCACCCACGGAGTCGACGACCTTGGCGGCGAGCCCGAACTCGTCCAGCTCGGCGGGCACCAGCTCCTCGTCCCCGGGATCCCCCAGCTCCTCCTCCAGCGGCTCGGGCCCCAGCTCGGCAGGCCAGCGCGCAGCAGGATTGCGTCGCCGGAACTGGAGGTACGCCTCCTCGACCGACTCTAGGACCACGAACTCGTCGACGTGCGTCACCTCCACGCCAGGGCCCGCCTCCGCCGCGCATAGGATGGCCGACTCATCCTCTGGACAAAAATGGAGAACACGCTTTGACTTCCTGGCTCCAGGGGATCCCGCATTCTCCTCGTACCACTGCAAGTACTGATCAGTGCAGAACAGGAACTCAGCGCGCGCGAACTGGCCGTGCTCGCTCGCCTCGTACAGGCTGACGATCCGAAACACGGCCTCGCCCTGCTCGGCGTCGGCGTCGTCGTAGCACGTGACCTGGATGCAGTCACCTGCCCGCACGGTGCGGCCCTCGCCAACGGCCGCCGCCGCGGCGCCCTCGCCGTCCGCCATGCGGCCTGCAGAGGCGAGCTGCTATCAGCTCGCTCGCGCGCCGACGTGCACCCTCGGTGCACAGAAAGACATCAGAGCAAGAAAGCTGCGAGATAAGATCGGCGATTTCGCGGGACCCCCGAGATACCCCAATGACCTGTAGTCATAAGTCTGATATATAGATATATAGATAGATATATAGATATATAGATATATAAATATATAGATATATCGATATACAGATATATAGATATATAGATAGATAGATAGATGTATAGATATATAGATAGATAGATAGATAGATAGATAGATAGATCGATATATAGATAGATAGATAGCTAGCTAGATAGATAGATAGATCGATAGATAGATAGATAGATAGATATATGTTCCGCAGTGGTTTATGCACGTATGTTCATATAGATTGGGTCTCTCCTGGGGCACGAATCCTCAGGAAACTCCAGAAAGCCCCAAGAGGCCCCAGGAGGCCACAGGAGGCCCCAGACTCATGCGCAGAGACGCACTCATACTACTGAGACTGAGACTCGTTCACACTCCAACTCATTCACAATCATATTCACTCCCAGATCGTCAGTACTCAAGCCAGCATATATTCGAAACACTCTTGCGCCTAGACGCTCACGTCGGACAGACCCATGCTAATAGGTGCACATATGGGGAGCTCCACGCAGTGAATACTTACTATTCTTGAATATTCCTCCTGTAGAGGGACATGCTCGACTTAATGCTCGGGGTTGGTTAGGCCGCCCCTAAACAGTGATCCTCCATCCTGAAGATGAAGGCACGATGGAAATTCACGTCGGTCGGAAGAAAGAGGTAAACGCATGAAGTAGGAAGGCGGATCAGGTAGATTGGGTTCAGGCCCTCCCAGAGAATTGCAAAGTACATCAGTAGCACGTCAAACCTTGAAGTAGGGCGGCGCTTGAAGTAGACTGGGATCGGGGGATTGCTGTCAACGACATTGGGAGCCTCTGAGGAGCTGGCGGATCTGGAGGATGTATCGGGCGCCGCGGCCGCTCTCCAGAGCGTTCCGCCCAAGCTCTTTAGCGAGTTGCCCTCGTCCTTCCAGAAAAAGCTGGACACAAACAGCATGGCTACATTCGCATGTGGAACGTTCGGGGATGGACAGAACCCCTTTAGTAAAACGTGGTTTAGTGAGAACGACCTCGGGCCCAAACCTCGCGGGCGCAAGCCTGAAAAATGACGGCCGCGGCGCCTTCTCGAGAACCGAAAACGGATAATTCACTAACCGACGTGTCAGGGTGGGGGCTCTGTCCACCCCCGAGTGTTGGAACGTCCGTGGGCAACGCGTTGGATACTGGGAACACGTGCAGAAGCCAGGACTACGTCCACGGCCACTGAGGGGCCGAGCGCTGGAAAGACATCTGGCCACAGGTGCTTCTCACTCGCGCCCGGGCCAGCGGCGCCATGCGCATCCGGCTCCCCGGCAGGCCTGTCCTTGGCGCGCCCCAGCAGAGTTGGCCCCAGACCGACGGGGGCCGCTCTCGGGCAGGCGACCTCCTGGCCTCAAGTGGGCACCGCCCGCGGCGGCGCCCACAACGAGTCGTGCTCGGAATGGCCAGGGGCTGCTGCCGGCCCCCGCCCCGGTTCTTACCAGCCTCGAACGTATCCCTATCCATAAGATTGACACGCCAAAAGGCGATGACAATCTTAGGGATCCGCCCTCAAAAATAGGGGAATCCCTAAGATTGGCATCGTGATGAGGAGGTGCCCAGCATAGGGATAGGGATATGCTCCAGGCTGGTAAGGTGCGGTCCGAAACCACCCCGATCGTGAGGCCACGGCAGCCTTCGCGCCTGGCCCCGAGTGCCGCTCCAGGTCGGGCCCTCGAGCCTCCTCCCCGGGGCCCGTCCTGACGAGCTTTTTCTGGGGCAGCTCCGGCTGCGACGACGGGGCGCCTCGTGGGGGCCCGGAGACAAGCGCACGGGAAACGCCAGGGAGTGCCGCGCCTGGCCCAAATACCGCTCCAGGTCAGGCCCGAGGCTCCTCCCGGGGCCCGTCCTGACGAGCCTTCTGAGGCAGCTCCGGCTGTGGCGACGAGACGCCTCTTTGACTACATACCAGACCACCCCAACCCAACCCGAAGACCCAAATTTCGGGTTCGGGGGGGTATGGGTTCCATACGTGGTTTTTCGATGTTCCCCGACCCCCCCCCCACTGGAAATGGAGGGCAAATGGAGGCCTTCGGGTTGGGTTGGGGTGGTTTGGTAGGTGGTGACTCTTGGAGGCCCGGAAACAAGAGCACGGAAAACGCCAGGGAGTGCCGCCCTTGTCTCGACTGGCCCTCTTCCGAGGTTCCTCTTCCTCGCAGGCCTGCCCGACTCCTCGGAAGCGCCTAGAAAGGTTTCTGGCCCCCGGGCGGCCGCTGCGAGTCAACCCGGGAGCTACGCAGCGTCCGCAGCCCACCTTGCAGTAGCCCTCCGGCACCTCTCCGAAGGCGGCGGGGGGGGGGGGGGGCAGGTAATGCCGAGCGGCGTCACCACGAACGGGGTCGCCACCTCCTTGGACACCCCGAGCCCCTCTGGGGAGTCCAAGAGTCGCCCGACGACGCCCAAGACCTGCCTGACCCTCGTGCTCCCTCATCCCCTATCCCCCATGTCAGGAACGAGGCGGCGACCCCCCCACCCCAGACATGCGGCGACTCGGCAGTCTGGAGGCATGGGGCCCCCTGGGCATCGCTCGGACGTCCATTCCCTGTGTTTTTTTCGATTTCGTGCGTGGCTTTTTCGCCAAATGATCAAGGATGCTCCTCGATGGTCCTCGCCGAAAAAAATGCACACGTCCGAGCGATGCCAAGCCCCCGGATTCCTGAACCACTCCCCCCGAGCTGGTGCATCGTGTCGAGGAGTTCGTGGACGGTCGGCGACCCGAGGCCAGTCTCCAGAGGCTGACAAGAAGGAAGCTGCCTCCAGGAGGCCCCCGACAGGCCTCGACGAGACCCCGACGAACATCCAAGGTTCGGTGGCAACTCATGGGAGCCTCCCATACCATCTTGTCGCCTCTTGCGAATCGACGCTAATTGACGCAAATCGACGCTAACCGACGCTAAGTCGGCGCCAACCGACGCAAGCCGACGCTAGATCGGCGCTTTCTCATCCACTCCCAGATGCTAATCGACGCTGACGACGGAATTAAGAGGGTATACCCAGACTCCCATGACTTGCTACCGAACCAAGGGGCCTCAGACCCACCACCAAGCCACGGTGGCGGGATGGGCCGAAAGCCATTCGATCCGCCACTCCCTGCGTTTGTCACAGGGGTGCCCTGCGTGCTCGATCCTTTCGGTTTAGGCGTTGGCTCTTTTCAAAAGACCTCTCCCCTGAGGCTCCGGCCCAGCCCGCAGGCCACCCGGAAGGGACCGAATGGCGCGGAACTTGCCGAAACAACTCTCCAAACGACTCAAGATAGCATCCATGACGGCTGAAATGGCCTCCAAGTTCGCCCAGGATGGCCCAACATGGCCGTCAAAGATACTTCCAAGTACGCCCAAGAAGCCTAGAAGACGGCCCAAGACTGCCCAAGAGGTGCCCTAAAGGCCTCCAAGACGGCCCAAGAGGCCTCCGAGAGGGCCTCCAGGAGGACCCGAAGAGGCTAAAACCATTGATTTTCGATCAGTTTTTGAAGGATTTTAATCTTTGCTCCTTTTCGGCCTTCCGACGGCCCAAGACGGCTCAAGAGGCCCCCAAGATCGCCCCCAGAGCGCCTAAGAGGCCTCCAAGATGTCCCCAGAGCGGCCCAAGATGCCCCCAAGACGGCCCCAAGAGGGCCCAAAAACGGCCAAGAGGCCTCCAAGACGCCAAAGAACGCCTCCAAGACGGCCCTGGAGCATTCCAAGAGGGCTCCAAGTCGGCCCAGAAAGGCCCCCAAGACGGCTTCTGGCGGCGTCAGACGGGCCAGGAGCTCACCAAGACGGTCCAAGATGGCTCTAAGATGGCCCAAGACGGCCCAGGCCTGAAGAGGCCAAAATCAGTATTTGTCCTTCGGTTGTTGAAGGATTCGGGCATTTGCTTCTTTTCAGCCTTCCGACGGCCCGAGACGGCCCAAGAGCCCCCAAAGATCGCCCCATGATCGCCCAAGAAGCCTCCAGGATGGCCCCAAACGGCCCAAGAGGCGTCCCAGGACGGCTTCCGACGGCGTCAGACAGGCCAGGAGCCCACCAAGACGGCCAAAGAGGCCCCCGAGAAGCTCCCAAAGGCCCCCAAGAGGCCCAAGGAGGCCCCCAAGATGCCTCCAAGAGGCTCCCAGAGGCTCCCAAGATGCCCCCTCCTCCTCCTCCTCCTCCTCCTCCTCCTCCTCCTCCTCCTCGTCCACCTCCTCCTCCTCCGCCTCTTCCTGATCATCCCTGCCATCCTCCCCCATTTGTTCCCCGAAGGGTTTCCACAACGGTTGGGGAAACATATGGTCCGATGGCTTCGCAGAGCTCTTTGCCACAACGCTCGGCCACATGGGCGATTCTAGAAGGCAAGGGGCGGCCGTGATTCGCCGTAGACATCTTCGACATGGGCCAGCGGTGTGAGCGGAACGATCATGAAACTGCTGTCCGGCCACCTTGGACCGTCCTGGATGCCTCTCCACCGTCGCTCGTGTTCAAAATACCTGCGAAACCCGATGAGCAAACAAAAACCTAATAAACACACATCGGATTCTGACGATCCTGGCTGCCTCGGGCTTCTCCTTGCGCGTCTCTTGGGGTTCCGGTGCATCTGCCTGGGCTCCTCCCTCCTTCCTGACACCTGCGGATTCTCTCTGCGGCCGTCCTATGGTTGCCTCTCGGACCCCCCGGAAGCTGCCGGGGCGCATTCTGGGCATTTCTTGCAGCCGCCCAGGGCGCCCCCAGAGAGCCCCCGGGACCCCCTCCAGGAACCAAAAATGAAGTCGCGATGTCATTGTCCTCCTCCCGTGCCCCTCGTTCACACCACTCCGCCGCACTGGACCTCCTCCTCCTCCTCCTCCTCCTCCTCCTCCTCCTCCTCCTCCTCCTCCCTCCTCCTCCTCCTCCTCCTCCTGCTCCTCCTCCTCCTCCTCCTCCTCCTCCTCCTCCTCCTCCTCCTCCTCCTCCTCCTCCTCCTCCTCCTCCTCCTCCTCCTCCTCTGGTCAATCCGAGGGCCCCCCTCGGAGCCCACCGGCGCCCTTTCTGGGCCGAGCCCGACGGCTGCTGGGGCTCTTCCAGCCTCTCTGCGGCCGCCCTGGCGTCTCGTCGGGGCCCTCGGCTTCCAGGAGCAGGTTCTCGGCAACCGCGCTCGCGCCTTCTCGGGCCGCCTTCGCTTCTTCACGTGCTGCTCAGGTGGTCCCCTTCTTTCTGCAGCAAGCCTCGCCAAGTCCGGTCGTGGGATTCACGTCGCCCCACATATGCATCTAAGCGAGGCCCGCGGCCTCGGCCGCAAGGGGGGCCCCCCCTCTCCTCCTCCCGCCTCGCTCTCTCCTCCTCCCTCCTCCTCGCCCTCATCTCCCCGCGGCAGGGTTCTGGGTGAGGCACCGCCAGCACCCTCCCCTGAAGGGATGGGGAGAAGGGGGGGGACAAGGGATACATCGTCGATAGCGATAGCCGCTAGCCCCTCGATAGCAAACCCGACCGCTCGTGGGCGGGGTGGTGGATCGAGGCCCCGGTTGGCGATGAATGGACGATCGGGGGTCGATGTTCCCCCCCGTGGTCGGGCCCCCTGTCAGCGCCCTGGGCAAACGAACACTCCAGAGGCAAGAAAGCAGCCTCTGGCAGGTGAGCGTCGCGATGAAATCGGCGCTGGTCTCTGTCAGATGGCGCAGATCGGTCGATGCAGGCCGATTCTGGGCCCCTCAACCTTGAGCGGCCGCGCCAGGGTCGCCGTCGCGCCAACGCGGCGAGAACCCGCTGTAACAGCCAGAAGCAGCTGCTGTCGTTTATCTAGGCTGAGCCAGGGTTGGGTCGGGCATGTCCTCCTGCAGGCGGATTTGATGATTTGTTTGATTTGAACATTCCTCCTGCAGATGGAAACGCCCGACTGAAAGCTTGGGCGGTCCAGTCCAGCTCTTCATGGACCTCGCGAGTGGCCAAACGACCACTGGCGGCTCCTGAGCACGACTTCACTTAGAGGCATCCCAGAGGGGGTCCGAGCAGATGGGGTCGGAGGATCGCGCCGCATCCCCGATGCATCGGCGACGGCGGCGTGGATAGAAGCAGGCACCACATCGGCGATGCGGCGCGATCCCTCGTCCCCATCTGCGCGGCACTCGGACCCCATCTGGGAGGCCTAGAATGACATGGTACGCAGAGGTCTGGAGCTCTCGTCGAGCTCCCGCTGACCGAACTCTCATGGAGCTCCCGCCCCGCTGACTGAACTGGGTCCCGACCATCCTGGGGCCGCAAGGACGGAGAGATGGCAGGAACGCAAAACACGAGCGGCCTCGCGAGGGCGCCCGACTGCCCCAGTCTCTTGAGACTTCCTCTGGTCGAGTCTCACGACGACGACAACGACGACGACGACGATCCGTGAGCTCCCAGGTGCAGAACAAATTGCGAAAAGACCACTTCGAGCCTCCAGCCTCGATTCCTCGACGAGGACGGCGGCCCACGACGACGACGACGAGGACCGAGCTGTCGCCAGTCTCGTCCAGCTTGGCCAGCCGGTCCTTCCACTCGGCGCCGCCGAGCTTGTGCATGGCCTCCTTCTTCATCCTCTCCTGCTCCTGAGCGACGGCGGCGGAGGAAAGGTTGAGGCGGCGGATGACATAGGTTCGAAATTCGGAAATGGACTTCTTGTACAGTTGTTCTGCTACATTGGGTCTCCGGGTGGAGCGTCATCGTCGCCAATGAGGCAGAGGAGGAGGAGGAGGAGGAGGAGGAGGAGGAGGAGAGGAGGAGAAGAATCCAGGATCGAGGAAGTTGCCTTTCGAACGCTCTCGAAGGATCCCGCGGGTCTATGGGGAAGGAGGGAAGTGGGATGAGGAGGAGAAAGATGACTTCCTCCATGGGCCGTTTCTGGTCGAACCTGCGCTTTCCCTTGCATGCGGCGGGTGGGCAAAGGACGCTCGCGACCGCTCGCATCTTGCGATGTCCTCGCTGGCCCCCTCCATGTGCCCCCTCCTTCACCACGATTGTGTCATTTTCCTCGCCCTCTGCCTCCCCTCTTGCCTCCTCATTTGCCTCCTCCTTGCCTCCTCTTCTTCCTCCTCCTCTCCTTCCTTTCCCCTCCCCCCCCCTCCATGCCAGTCTTTGTGCTCGTGCCTCCCTCCTCGTCGATGGGGGGGAGGCGAGGGAGAGGAGGCTGGGAGGGGCGAGGGGAGAGGCGAGGGCAGCGGGGGAGGAGCAGAGGCAGGCGCAGGAGAGGGGGAAGGGTGAGATGCCGAGGGGGTTGGAGGCAGGGGGCCACATGCGAACCCTGCCCCTGCCCCCCCAGAAGTCGTGGGGGGTAGGGGCAGGGTTCGCATGTGGCCCCCTAGGAGGAGGCTGTTCGATTAGTCGACCGACTGCAGGATTGATTCACCCCAGAATTGATTTCTTCGTCGGGCCTACGAACAGAATGCACCGAAGGTTCGTAGTTCTACACGTATTCGACGCACTTCTTGCAGATCCGACGAAGATTTCAGTTTCGGGGTATATCGATTCTGCAGCCGATCCCCTCCCTACTCGAGCTGTGGGGGGAAGGGGCAACGGGGAGGGGGGAATGAGGAGGGGAGAGGGCGGGGGGGACGGAGGGCGCAGGGCAGGGGGGCGGCAGGGACCGTGAGAGCAGGGAGGGGACAGGGTCGACTGGTAGGGGCCAGGAGTGGAGCGGGCTGCTGGGGTGCCGCGAGGGAGCGTCTGGTCCTTGTCCATCCAGGTCATCTCGAAGCCATGCTTCTGGCACATCTTCTTGATCCTCTGCTCCATGGTGGGAGTCCGATGCTTGGTGTGAACCACGAGCCTCTCCACGTGCTGACTGAAAGAGACCTCGCCGTGGATCTGGGCCTCCTTGTATTTCATCTTCCCTACTTTTTCGGAGTCTCCGAGTAGCGCCTCCTCCGCGGAGGTAGCGACCTTCAGCGTCTCCTTCAGCTCTTCGGTGCTATATTCCGCCAAGACGTGGGCGTAGAAGTCGGGCACAGCCAACTTTTCGGCCTTCAGGTTTGCCGAATCCTCCGGGGCGAACGTGCATCTCAGGCGCACGTCCTTCAGGATCAGGTACGATTCGCCGTACTGCTTGCACGCGACCACGCCCCTGTGGTCGTTCATCACGTTCTGCACGCCATACTTTGGGCGGTCCTTCAACTGGCCGCTCCTGTCGTATGCGCCGTCGAACAAGTCCTTCTCCCACTTCTTCCTCACCTCGGGCTTCAAGAGGCCGCCGGACGTCTTTGTCTCAAACTGGTTCCGGTAGTGCGTGTCTGTTTCCATGAACTGGAGCATTTTGTCCATGTTGATGTGTACGATGATGGGCGCCAACTCCCGGATCCAGGCCAGGGTGAGCCAGAGATTGTCCTCTGGAAGGTGCAGGTCCTCCGAGGTTGATGAAACTACGCAGCAAAGTTCACAGGCGCCTCCCCACATGCGTGGGGGTGAGGGGGGGTGGAAGGAGGGGGTGGGACCGGGTGGCAGGAGGAGGAGGAGGACAGGAGGTGCGAGGGGAAGGAGGGTTAGGAGGAGGAGGAGGAGGAGGAGGAGGTTGGACGGGAACATGTGAAAAGAGTAAGACGCAATTCGCCGTATATGCAGCCCATCCAGCCAGTTGAAAGTCTCAGATCGAGAAAGATGCATCCACATTGTTGCAACGCCTTCGACTCAGAAGTCAAGGATATTCACACTCTTGAAAATACCTAAACAATGACATAACCATAAACGGAGGTTCGCGCGGACTTCTCGGATCCGCGCTGGACCCGCCTCCCTGGCGTGCGGAGCGCGCCAGGAGCGGCGCTGGAGGCGCCTCCAGGGGCTCCAGCGCGGATCCGAGAAATCCGCGCGGACCTCCCAAAGTTCATGCTTCTGTAATCGTTCTTTCCCCCGATGATCGCCCTGTCCTTGACCCGTTTCTGAAGCTTGGGCAGAGCGGCCTTGTGGTTCTGCTTCGCCAGCTCCCTGATCTTGCAGATGGCCTGCTCCTGTGCGGAGGGACCACTGCAGACCCACCGCCTGCGCACTGCTGCCGATGCACCTCCTCGTCGACCTCCTCCTCCTCCTCCTCCTCCTCCTCCTCCTCCTCCTCCTCCTCCTCCTCCTCCCCCTCCTGCTCCTCCTCCTCCTCCTCCTCCTCCTCCTCCTCCTCCTCCTCCTCCTCCTCCTCTCCTGGCCCCGGCGTTAGAGATCTGGGCAGAACTCGTTCAAAATCGACTCCTGCACGCGTCAGGTCATGCTGCTGCACCTCCTCGTCCTCCTCCTCCTCCTCCACCTCCTCCTCCTCCTCCCGTTCCTTGTTCTCCTCCTACTCGGCCCTGGAGCAGGAGGAGGAGAGAAGAAAACATCGATGTCCCCGACATGTTGTGCAAAAGCAAAAGAGAATGGAGGCCTCAACGGTGGCCACGTTGGCCCCGCTGATCGTCCCAACGACTCGAAGCCCACCCCATTCCCGTTGTCCTCGTCGTGGTCCTCCTCTCCCTCCTTCTTCTCCTCCTCCTCCTCCTCTTCCTCCTCCTCCTCCTCCTCCCAATCCTGCTCCATGCAGGTAGAGGAGGAGGCGGGTGGAGGAGGGGTGAAGAGGAAGAAGACGGAGAATGGAGTAGAGGCGGGAGAGGCATCTTCCTCCCCCTCCCCCTCAGCCGCGCTGGAGCACGGAGCGAGCAGTCAGGGGACGCGCGTCGGAGGGAGGGCCAGGAGGGAGGGAGGGCGACCATCGGAGGACACGGAGAGGCCAAAATCAGTCAACATCGTACGTCGGGAAATCGGATTGGATCGGACTGTGCGCCGGATCGGGCTGCATCGGCACGGAGTTGAAACCGAATCGGATCGGCTGCGCCAAGGCGCACAACAACGCAAAGAATCGCTGGATTCTGACACCGCATGGAACGCAGTGCTTCATTCGCGGCCATAACGGGCGGTAAGAAGGGCGAGGGGGGGAGGGCGGGAGGGGGCATAACGTAGCGCCCCCCCACCCCAGACTGTGGTGCTGGACGCACTGCGGCAGTGCGGGGGGCGCACAGAGGGGGGGATTGTTACGTTGTGGGGGGGGGGAGGGGGGAGGGCGTTTGCCCAGAGGGTTAAAAACACTCTCTTCCTGACACCGCATGGATTCTTCAGGCTTGAAGCACCGCGGCCCTCCTCCTCCTCCTCCTCCTCCTCCTCCTCCTCCTCCTCATTATATTCGTTAGACCAACATCAGGTGCGATCCTGTTGCGTTAAACTTCCGCCTCCTCCTTCTCCTCCTCCTTCTCCTCTTCCTCCTCCTCCTCCTCCTCCTCCTCCTCCTCCTCCTCCTCCTCCTCCTCCCCCTCATCCTCCTCTTCCTCCTCCTCCTCCTCGACCTCCTCTCCCCTCCTCCCCTCCTCCTCCTCCTCCTCCTCTCCTCCCCCTCCTCTCCCTCCTCCTCCTCCTCCTCCTCCTCCTCCTCCTCCTCCTCCTCCTCCTCCTTCCTCCTCCTCCTTCTCGTCGTCCTCCTCCTCCTCCTCCTCCTCCTCCTCCTCCTCCTCCTCCTCCGACGACGACGACGACGACGACGACGACGACGACGACGACGACGACGACTGCTTGCGCCCATCGCTCTGAGTCGGCCGATGCTGGCCCACCGGCAGCGCTCCGCCTTGAGCACGCCCGCAGCCTGGGGTCGCCGACTCCCCGTGTCGAAAGGCGGCCCGGCCCCCGCCGCGCACCGCGTGTCCAGCGTAGGAGAGCACCGCGCGATCGACGGGGGACGCCCGTGGCTTCTGGCAGGGAGGAGGAGAAGGAGGAGGAGGAGGAGGAGGAGGAGGAGGAGGTGGAGGAGGAGGAGGAGGAGGAGGTGGAGGAGGGGAACAGGGGAGGAACAGGATGAGGGGGAGGAGGGGAGGAGGAGGAGGAGGAGGAGGAGGAGGAGGAGGAGGGAGGAGGAGGAGGAGGAGGAGGAGGAGGAGGAGGAGCATGAGGATGAGGATGATGATGAGGAGGAGGATGAGGAAAAGGAGGAGGAGGAGGAGGAGGGGAGGAGAGGAGAGAGGAGGAGGAGGAGGATGAGGAGGAGGAGGAGGAGAGGAGGAGGAGGAGGAGGAGGAGGGGGAGGAGGAGGAGGGGGAGGAGGAGGAGGAGGGGGGAGGAGGAGGAGACGGAAGAGGAGGAGGAGGAGGAGGAGGAGGAGGAGGAGGAGGAGGAGGAGGAGGAGGAGGAGCGGAAGGGGCTCAGGGACACACAAACAAATAGACAAATAGACACAAATCCAAATTTTCCCCATCCTGTCCTATATTTCCTGGATTTTCGTCTCCCCCCCCTTCCCATATTTTCACATATTTTAATAGCTTCTGACATGAAGATGGGGGAGGGAGGGAGCTGAGACGAGTCTAGGACGAGGATAACATTGGGGGAGGATACATGGAGAATCTCTGAGATCTGCCGGCTTTGGAAGATGTCTCGGGCGCCGCGGCCTTCTCTGAGCGTTGCGGAACGTTCCGAGAGCGTTCCGGAACGCTCTGGACGGATGCATCCTCGCCCTAGCCCCGCCTGAACGTGCCTGGCATGGGAGAACCGAGCGATCGACGAGGGACGCCCGTGGCTTCTGCCAGGGAGAGGGCTGAAGGGGACCACGGGCACATAACAAATAAACACAGAATCCGAGGATTTTCTCGTTCCAGTATTTTCTGGAGTTTCGTCTTCCCGCCCACACTTCGCATATTTTCCGCATATTTTCATTGCTATTCTGGCAGGGAGACGGGGGAGGGAGCTGCGACAAAGCTAGGACGAGTATAACGTAGGGTGAGGATACATCGAGAATCCGCCGAGCCCTTGGGGTCACGGCACGTGAGATGCTCCCCCCCTTCCAAAATGTCCCCCGGGAGGCTGGTTTGGAGGGGGGGCGGGGGGGCGGGGGGCAAAGGTGTCAGCTGCACCCTTGGAGCCTCAAGGGGCCCCAAAACAGGCCAAGAGGGCCCCAAAAGGCCCCCCTGGACGGTCCAAGAGTGCTACGAGTCGCCGAAAGATCGCTCCAAGACTCCCAAGATCGTATCCACACGGTCCCAGAGGCCCCCAAGACGCCCCAAGAAGCCACCAAGAGGCGTCCCCAGAGGCCCTCCAGAAGCAAAAATCGTCCCATTCCTTTGGGAAGACGTCTATTTCCCTACATGCTTCGTGAGGTTCTTGTTCCCAACCATCCTGTGGTGTTGGGTCCTCGTTTTGAAGAGATGTCGCCCCGCGTTCTCCTCCTCCTCCTCTCCTCCTCCTCCCCTCTCTCCCTCCTCCCTCCTCCATCACCATCACCATCACCATCACCATCACCATCACCATCACCATCACCATCATCATCATCATCATCATCATCATCATCATCATCATCATCATCATCATCATCATCATCATCATCACCCATTTCAGCATACCCCTCACACGTTTCGTGGCCCCATAGGAAGCCCCACCGAAGGCCCCAATGCTACCGTCCGCATGCGTCCCCCCCACCCAGTACAGCGCGTCGTGGCCCCATGGGGAGCCCCACCGAAGGTCCCAGTGCTACCGTCCGCATGCGTCCCCCCCCACCCAATACAGCGCTTCGTGGCTCCATACGGATCCCCACCGAAGGTCCCAGTGCTACCGTCCGCATGCGTCCCCTCACCCAATACAGCGTTTCGTGGCCCCATAGGGATCCCCACCGAAGGTCCCAGTGCTACCGCCCGCATGCGTCCCCCCCACCCAGTACAGCGTTTTGTGGCCCCATAGGGAGCCCCACCGAAGGTCCCAGTGTTACCGTCCGCATGCGTCCCCCCCACCCAGTACAGCGCTTCGTGGCCCCATACATCGCCGTGACGAACATTTCTTTCAATTTGCCGTTTGGAATGACGCACTCGTGCGGAATAGTTCGGAGTAGTTTTGCTAAAACTACTCCGCGCGCAATCGTATCCCGCTCGGTAAATTATATGGCTTGGCGTGGAGTAGTTTCCGATCCCGTGTTGGGATAACGGAGTCATTAACGTCCCCTGGATCGGAAACTACTCCGCCGAATGACCCAGCATCATGTCGTGTTAGGAATCTTGAGAGGGATGGGAGAGATCTTCATCATAGCAAATGAAAGAAACTTTTGTCACGGTTGTGTAGGGAGCCCCACCGAAGATCCCAGTGCTACCGTCCGCATGCGTCCCCCCACCCAGTACAGCGCTTCGTGGCCCCATAGGGAGCCCCACCGAAGGTCCCAGTGCTACCGTCCGCATGCGTCCCCCCCCCCCTCACCCAGTACAACGCTTCGTGGCCCCATAGGGAGCCCCACCGAAGGTCCCAATGCTACCGTCCGCATGCGTCACCCACGCCCAGTACAGCGTTCCGTCGGCCCGCAAGGAACCCCGCCGAAGGTCCCACTGCTACCGTTCGCATGCGTCCCCCACACCCAGTACAGCGCTTCGTGGCTCCATAGGGAGCCCCACCGAAGGTCCCAGTGCTACCGTCCGCATGCGTTCCCCCTCCTGTACAGCGCTTCGTGGCCCCACAGAGAGCCCCACCGAAGGCTCTGGGACTGTCTGCGTGCGTCCCTGAAACTCAATTTTGGCATGTTCACCCCACCGAGTACGGCGCCTCGTGGCCCCATAGAGAGCCCCACCGAAGCCCCCAGTGGGACTGTCCGCATGCGTCCCTGCAACACAATTTTTGCATTTTCACAGCACCCACTACGGTGTTTCGTGACCCCGTAGAGAGCTCCACCGAAGCCCCTAGTGGGACCGTCCGCATGCGTCTCGGAAGCCAAATTTGGCACTTTCATCAACCCAATACAACGCTTCGTGGCCCCATAGAGAGCTCCGCCGAAGCCCCCAGTGGGACCGTCCGCATGCGTCCTGGAAACCAAATCTGGCATTCCCCTCATACGTTTTGTGGCCCCACAGGGAGCTCCACCGAAACCACCACTGGGACCGCCCGCATGCGTCCCACACGCCAAGTTTTGCATGTGCTCCCCACCCAGTACGGCGCTTCGTGGCCCCATAGGGAGTTCGCCCGACGGCCCCAGTTCTACCGCCCGCATGCGTTCCCCCCCACCCAGTGCAGCGCTTCGTGGCCCCATAGGGAACCCCACCGAAGTCCCCAAGGGGACCGTCCGCATGCGTCCGGGAAACCAAATTTGGCACACCCCTTATACGCTTCGTGGTCCCATAGGGAGCTCAACCGAAGCCACCAGTGGGACCGCCCGCATGCGTCCCACACATAACATTTTGCATTTCCCCCCCACCCAAAACGGCGCTTCGTGGCCCCATAGGGAGTTCGCCCGACGGCCCCAATTCTACCGCCCGCATGTCTTCCCCCCCCCACCCAGTGCAGCGGTTCGTGGCCCCATAGGGAGCCCCACCGAAGAAAATATTCACAATTGCGGTACCCACAAGTGCATATGGTCGGGTCCGTCGCCAGGATAATCTTTTTCTCTGCCGCGTCCCACCCGCGCTCACTCACTCACCTCCCTCTTCCACTCCTCCTGACAGCACTGCTCAGCACAGCACAGCTCAGCTCAGCAGAGCTTATCACATCTTAGCTCAGCTCAGCTCAGCTTAGCACAGCTCAGCTCAGCTCAGCAGTCGCCTGCCCGCTGGTACAGCACAGCACAGCACAACACAGCACAGCTTACCCAATACGTATGCACCACATACTTGGCACACACATGAGACACACGTCCAGATACGGCCGCACACGCATCATACACGTACACGTGACACGCCATACACAACACGCACGTGTAGGATGCGCAGGGCACGGCAGGCATGGCCCTTTCTCGACACCAGGGACAGTGCGTTGGGGGTGGTCCCTGTGCACCTGCGTTGCAGGCGACCTGTGCGTGGCGCTTTCTCGACACCATAGGGGGGGGGCGCAAGGGGTGGTCCCTCACCGCGGTCTCAATCCGTCCCAGGGTCGCGGGGGCGTGGCGGGCGTCGTAATTTCTCCACGCCACACGGGGTGCTCAGGGGGTGGTCCCTCACCGCGGTCTCTATTCGTCCCAGGGTCGCGGGGCGTGGCAGGCGTGGCACACTCTCGACACCACAAGGGGTGCGTATGGGGTGGTCCCTCACTGCGGTTTGTATCCGTCCCAAGGTCGCGGGGCGTGGCGGGCGTGCTACTTCCTCGGCACCATACTGGGTGCGCAGGAGGTGGTCCCTCACCGCGGTCTCTATCCGTCCCAGGGTCGCGGGGCGTGGCGGGCGTAGCACTTTCTCGACACCACACGAGGTGCGCAGGGGGTGGTCCCTCACCGCGGTCTCTATCCGTCCCAGGGTCGCAGGGCATGGCGGGCGTGGCGCTTCCTCGACACCAGAAGGGGGTGCGTAGGGGGTGGTCCGTCACCGCGGTCTCTATCAATCCCAAGGTCGCGGGGCGTGGCGGGCGTGGCACATGCTCCACACCATAGTGGGTGCGCAGGAGGTGGTCCCTCACCGCGGTCTCTATCCGTCCCAGGGTCGCGGGGCGTGGCGGGCGTAGCACTTTCTCGACACCACAGGGGATGCGCAAGGGGTGGTCCCTCACCGCGGTCTCTATCCGTCCCAGGGTCGCGGGGGCGTGACGGGCGTCGTATTTTCTCCACGCCACACGGGGTGCGCAGGGGGTTGTCCCTCACCGCGGTCTCTATCCGTCTCAGGGTCGCGGGGCGTGGCAGGCGTGGCACACTCTCGACACCACAAGGGGTGCGTATGGGGTGGTCCCTCACTGCGGTCTGTATCCGTCCCAGGGTAGCGTGGCGTGGCGGGCGTGGCAGTTTCTCGACACCATAAGGGGGTGCGCAGGGGGTGGTCCCTGAGCGCGACCGCTGTCCGAGACGGTCGTCCAGGGCATAGCACGCGTGGCACTTCCTCGACACCAGTAAGGGGTGCGCAGAAGGTGGTCCCTCAGCGCGGCCGCTATGCACGACGGTCGTCCAGGGCATAGCAGGCGTGGCACTTTCTCGACACCATACGGGCTGCACAGAGGGTGGCAACGGCCACCAACATCATTCTCACATGCTTCACTTCAGCTATCATCACTCCAGCCATAATATAAGTATGTGGGGTTCCTCGGTAGCGTAAGTTTAGCACATTCGCCTCTTGGGCTTTCACGAGGCCCACAACGGCCCAATAAGCCTGCAAGATCGACCCAAGATAGCCCAAGAGGCCCCCAAGAGGGTTCCAAAACGGCCCCAAAACGGCCCCATAAGCTTCCAAACGACCCAGGAGGGCCCCAGGACGGCCCCAAGAGGAGGCCCAGAGGGAGAACCCGAATGAACATTTCGAGCACTCGGCCCCGCGAAAACCTATGGAGGCGCCACTTGGCCCCCAGGAGGCTCCCACGAGGCCCCCGAGAGGCCCAAAAGAAGCCCAGAGAGGCCTAAAAACGGCTCCCAAGAGGCCTCAAAGTGCTGCCAGGAGAGCCCAGAGAAGCTCAAGAGCAGAGCGGCGATCCGCCAACCGCCCCCAACGAAATCCCAAGAAGCTGAAACCCCAAGATTCCCCAGAAATCGTTCCGCAAACTCCGCTTTTCACTCTTACTGCCGCCCCAAGGGGTCGGCGGTGCGGCGTCAGCCAATGAATCTCTGAGATCCGGCGGCTCTGGAGGATGTCTCGGGCGCCGCGGCCTTCTCGGGAACGATCCGAGAGCGTTCCAGAATGCTCTGGACGGATGTATTCTCGCCCTGGCCCCGCCCGAACGTGCCAGGCGTGGGAGCACCGAGCGATCGACGAGGGACGCCCGTGGCTTCTGCCAGAAAAAAGGCGAAGGGGCCCAGGGGCACACACAAAATATACACATGATCCCAGGATTTCCACATCTTTCCAATATTTTCTGGACTTTCGTATTCCCCCCCCTACACTTCCCATAATTCTAATGTTTTCCTGGCTTCTGGCAGGGAGGTGGGGGAGGGAGCAACGCTTCCACCGCCCGCGGGGTCCTGGCACTTCTCCAGCCTGGCCGCCGCGCGCAGCTCGGACTGGGGGACCACCATGCTCCAGTACATCTGGGCCTCGGAGTCTATGCCGCACTGGTCAAGCCTGCTCCAGGGCTCGATCTAAACAGCGTTTCTCCTTTTCGTTATGTTTTCGTTTTCCCTCGTCGTCCCTTCAATCCGCCTTTGCCGCAAAGGGAAGCCGAAACGAAAACGGCCCACGAAATCGCCAAAGCACCGCTTGGGTCGACCCCTGGCCTGCTCCGCTCGAGGCTGGACAAAGTCTCCCCCGATTCCATAGCGGTCTGGCGGCGGCCGGACTTCTCCCCCAGCATCGCCTGCCGCGTCTTCAGCAGATTCGGTATCCCGCCCATGCCGCCCACGAATCTCTTGAACTCCACCTCTTGGATGGTCCCGCCGCCGTCCTTGTCGATTTTCGCCATCATGTCGGTGATGTCCGACTCCCCTGCGGGGAATCCGAGATACTTGTTCATGGCTCCAATGTCGGCTCTGGTGAGCTGTCCTTTTGCCCCTGAGTTGTCGAACATCTTGAAGAACTGCTTGATTTCTTCCTCCTCCTTTTTCGCCTCTCTTTTAAGTGTGTTCATTTTCTCGGAGGCCTGGTGCCCGTTTTTTATCGCAGCCCTCACCTCCTCCACGAGCCGATTCAGGTGGTGGTCCTTCGACTCCAGCCATGGAGCCACCTTTAGTAGCTCTTCCAGCTGCTTCTGCGGCGGATCGGTGCTCGCGGTGGCACCCATGAAGCGACAGCGGAGCTACTGCTGCGACCCTGGGAAACACATCGGCCTCCTCGGTAAGCGCGGAAGGCTCGCTTGGCCTCCTATTGGCTGCAGAGCGGCTTGCTGGAGCAGACATATGTGGCGGCGGAGGCGCGGAAGAAAGCGACGAGGCGGGCGGAGGGGATTAGCCACATGGTCGCTCTCTGTGTCGGGGGCACACCTGGCTGGCTGTCTGGCGCTTGCTCCCATGTCTCACCAGTCATTGACTCTGACTCCCCTCCGCCCTTCCTCACATGGCTGCTCAGTGCAGCAACGACTCTTCGCTTGGCGTGCCCTGCGCTCCAGGAAGATGCCCCCCAGACCCCCCCCCCCGCGTGCAAATCTGAAAGCGCCGTGGAGCAGAGACTACCGTCCCAACTCAAGATATCCTTCAGCGCGAGAGAGGCGAGAACGCCCGAAGCAGACTCGAGGCACACTTCTAGGCTACCCAATACTTACGGCAAGCTTTAGGTTGCTCCCACCGTACTTACGGACCACATCCCAGAAGTAATTTCGAGCACCCAGAAAAATATCGAAACAATGTCGAGCGGATGTCGCCTCCCAGGGCCCGACACGCGAAAACCCTCCAGTCTCGGAATTTTCGTGGTGCTCGAATTTTTTTCTGGTGATCCAAGCAAAAATTGGCTGGAACACCGTAAGGCAAGCTCGTGCCGTGACTACTTTGGCTCTGCTTTTCCGGACAGCGCGCGGGTGCCTCAGCCTGGGGCCACCGCGGCTCCCCGAGAGCGCCGCTCCTTCGAAGTCGGCCGCCTCTGGCCCCTGGCGCGGGGGAAGGCCAACTGGGCGACGAGCGAACGACACGCGCCCATACCCATAGGGAGGTCGGAGGGAGGGATCGTAACGATGGCTGGGGGACGAGCCACGCACTGCGCAGTCGCACCGAAGGGGGAGCGTTACGCTATGTGGGGGGGGGGGGGGAGGGGAGGGAGATGGGAGGGGGAGGGGAGGGGGATGGGGGGGAGGGAAAAGGGATAGGACCCAGAGGGCAACGAACAAAAACACTCTATGCGGGTATGGGTGCGGGATGTCGGACCCCTGGGGAGCTCCCGCTCGAGCGGGGGTCCTCATCCGACAACGCGCACCCCGAGCCCCGTCCGCCCGTCCCACGTGTGTGTGTGTGTGTGTGTGTGTGTGTGTGTGTGTGTGTGTGTGTGTGTGTGTGTGTGTGTGTATGTGTGTGTGTGTGGGTGTGTGGGTGGGGGGGCTGTTCGCTCGTCAACTGAATCTAACAGGGCATGCGTCGACCCCTATCCCAGGCTTTGGGAGGTTCCCGAGTGGACCAAACATTTGGGGTCCGATCCTGGGAGATACGATGGGCGGGCACCCATCCTCGATAAAGGCTCGTCCGAAGAGCCCCCTTGGGGTGCATCCCAGGGCTTCCCCCCCCCTTCTGAGCCGTCTCAGCTTCCGTCGAAAAGTCGGAGGGCTGATGGGAGACACATCGCCCGCGAGAGTCAACGGCGGCTCTCCTGCCCCGAGCCCTCCTGAGCTCCATATCCTGACCCTCCCTCTCCGGGCGGATCCGGCCGTGGCAACGCGAGGCCTCCGGGAGATCTCATCAAGAAGGACGAACAGCGCCACGGAGGGCTGCCGTTGCCTCGGCGGGCCCTCCTCCGATCTACCTTGCTGCCTTGCTCGCCCCCCAAACATCTGGCGGCTCGATGTTTTCGAGACGTGGGCCTCGAGACCTCCTTGACTACTTCCCTGGGGCTGGTTTTTCTTTCTCCTCCCGGGCTCTTTCTTGACGGCCCCGGGGCCCGGAGCCGGCCCGCAACGACAGAGCGTGCAGAAGAACGTGCCGCCCATGCTTTGCTCGAACCGCCGAGAGCCCGGGGCTATGGGGCCGCCGCCGCGTCGATGCGAACCTTCCGCGGCTCGGCCGGGTCCGCACGCGAAGCGCGCGGATGGCCTCGCGCACGGCGGCCGAGCGCCAGAAAGACGAGCGGCCGCGCATGCACTTGCCTGGCTACAGGCCAGGCCAGGTACGTCGCGCGCGCGCCAGTTGTCGCTCCCACCCCTCAATTTTCGGTCTCTGGTGGCCAGGCATCGAGCCCCTGGCCGTCAACAAAAACAGCTCGGGATGGACAGCTGGCACCACAGAGGAGCGTCGGGCCGCGAGGTCCGGG